TTCAATTCTCCGCTCATCGGCCGTGCACGGAGACGCCCTTCGTATCTGATATCTGCACTCGGTCGGTATCTGACACTCTGACCACCCGGTGAACTACTGTGCGCTTCCTACACTGCCCGAGTCGGGCATCGTATGTGAAAGACCGTCGGTGTCGTCCGTTATCGCACTGGCATCTTCGTGGCTCGTCATGTGTCGTTTGTACTTATGTTTACGTAGTGATCCACGCCTGCGCAGTCCTCCCTTATACTCGTGCACGAGATCCAGTCACTCTGTCACTCACCAGTCTATCTACACACTAGCTTGCTGCTAGAACTCCTGTTCGAATTTGGAGGTCCGGATATCTCGTTACTCATATTCCATGGTCGTATACTGCTGTAGCTCACTTACAATTCACTTACTACACACACACCTAGTACCATATGCTTACACTCTTACACTCAAGCCATCGCCGGTCATTGTGTGGTTCATAATGTATCCATTGTCTCTCTCCTCGCTTCCAGCCTCTTGATGTGCAGGTGTAAGGCTTAGGCAATATTGAGTGCTGATTGTTAAACAACCGGGATTTTTTGTGAGTGCACAACGTGACAACAACAAAGAACAGCAGAAGACAAAGGAGAAAGAGAAAACAAGAAAGGGGCATAGCAAGATGGATGGAAAGCGAGGGTGATCAGGCGCCGGGCAGCAAGCGGGCTGGGTATCTGTGGTAGTATGTGGTCGTCGAACTCGTTACAGAATCGTCAAAGCTCGTGTCGCCGTCAGGATGGGACACACCCCAGGCTGGTGCTTGCTGGTCAGTGTTCCCCAGGGGCGAGGCAGAAGAGTTATGTTAGGTAGGTAGAGTGTAGATGGTTACGGTCGATCATCTGGTTTGTCTAAATGGGCTGGGAACCTGTTTCGTATAGCAGGGCGTTCCTGTTCCTGTTCCACGACCGTGCGTACGCGCGCATCGGAGGGGAGGGGGAGTTCCCCGTGCGCCGCTTACTCGTCGCGCGGGGCGAGGGAGACGCGGAGGGGGAGCTGGACGCCCTTCTCGAGCTCGCCGTCGAGCGTGGGGACCATGACGATCGCGCTCGTCTTGCGGATGCGGGGGACGTCGTCGGAGAGCTCGAAGACGAAGTTGGAGACGAGCTCGGTGAGGAAGGCTTGTAGCTCGTAGATCCTGTTGAGGAATTGCGTCAGCGGCGGCGTTCTCCTTCTCACCGGAGATATGGTCAGGTGGAGCGAGGGGGAGGAGGGGGGAGAGGGTTGTGGTCATGAGTTAAGGGGTGACAAAAGGTGGGTGACAGGGGGATGGGGCGTGTGACTCGGATGCAGGCCCTCGGAGTGGGGGAATATACTACCGATGGCGACAGGGCCGCGGAGGAGCGAGGGTGGAAGCCCGAGAAGGAGAAGGAGAAGTAAGAATATGAAAAAAGAAGGAAGGGGTACGTACGCGAAGCGCCATCCTATGCACGCACGCACGCCTCCCGCAAACGTCACTCTGCGCGCAGAATGGCGGCGACGGAAGTGAGGACGCAATAATGATACAGCGCGCGTTTGATGACCGGCATGGAGATGGAGGAGCCACCGTATGGTTAGTCGTTCAGAGAAGATCGCACGACAATCGGAAAAAAATCAGCCGCGATGTCATGGAGAAGCAGGGGGGAAAGAGAGCGGATGGATGACGTACAGGTTGGCATAGACACCGACGGAGGAACTGCGCTTGCCCTTGAGCGAAGGGTCGAGCCACCGGTCGGGGTTGAACGTCTGTGCGTCTTCGCCAAATACGTCTTTTTCGCTGAGTTCGCCGAGGTCGCCGCGAGAAGCGGACGTGATCGGTCATCAGCATATGATATACTTGTGGTCTTTTCTCTCATGGGGATGTCGGAAATCGCGAAGACAAGACTCACCGGTTGTACGCGCACACCGACAGAATCAACCTCAGCCCGGCCCTAATCGGGATCTCGTGGATCGTCTTGCCCGAGCGCGTCACGATCGGTTTCGAGAGCGGCAGGACGTCGTCGTGCAGGCTCTGGCGGTACGTGTGCGGGACGGCGGGGTAGAAGCGCAGGATCTCCTTCAGGACCGCCTGCAGGTACGGCATCGCTTCGAAGTCCGCGACGGTGAAGTCGGTGTCGCCTCGCGCGCGGATCGTGCGCTCCATCGCGTGCACCTCTCTGCGGAGACGGGACTGGATGTGCGGCTGCTTCGCAAGCTCGAGCAGCGCCCAGCTGAGCGTGTTTGACGTCGTCTCCTGTCCTGCGAGCAGGATTGTCCTGTGGACGAGAGGTTGTCCATGACGGTGGTTAGATGATAACAATCGGAGGTGGCGCGCTTTTAACGAGTGCATTCAGACTGACCTCATCTGTGAGACAATCTCTTGATGTGACAAGCGCGAGGCTCCTGTCTCGTTTGCGTTCTCCCTCACTGTGCGAGATGAGCGGGCGCATACGTTCAGAGATGAGTCATAGCCACCCTACGTACCAAGAATACTCATGACGTCTCGGGCACCCTTGCCTAGCAAGAGTGCCTCTTGCTTCGTCTCCAAGAGCTCGTTTGCGACCTTGTGTGCGGCGTCACGGTTCCAGCGCGCCTTGTCGAGACCCTTGCCGGGGAGGTGGTCGTAGAGGAGCTGCTGCAGCGCCATCGGCACGTAGTGTGCGATGTTCTGGACGAAAATCTTGGCATTGGACGGCGCGGAGAAGATCGATTGTCTAGCGGTACAAGTGAGGAAACGGCACGCAGACACGTAGCAGTGAAGAAGGGGGCCGGGACGTACACAAGATTGCTGTAGGCCCTACCGAGCTCGCTAGTCTCGTTATCGAGCACGCCGAGCTTGTAGTCGAAGGCGGCTTGCGGGGAAGCATCGGTCAGGCGCGACTTACGCGTCGTCAAGAATACCCGTACTGACCTTCTCCAATAGCCTCGAGGGTCGCCGGGGCGATGTCGTTGTGGATGTTCAACTTGATTGAACCCTCGCCATGGCCCGTTAGAAGGTCCTTCCACTTCAATGTGACCTACTCGATGGTTAGCGATTCCATTCCATATGTGTCAAACGCTGATCTGTTACTGCCTTGTCATACCTGTTCGGCGTAGTGCCTGAAGACCGGGAGCAAAGCCTTGGACTCCGGGGCGCCGAAGGCAGGAAGCATAACCTTGCGCTGACGCTTGTGCACATCACCTAAAGTGGGCCGTGAGCCGCGTAACGGATTGCATTTAGAGTGACGACACTGGCAGGCATCTCCGCTGCGGCGTGGCGCAGTCCTGCAGACGTCAATTATGAAAATTGCAAACGCACCTTCTGCCCACGTTAATCCCGTGTCCCCGATCAGACGCGAGAGAATCCGGCGTTCCGGCTGCTTCGGGAAGTTGTAGCCTGAGGTCTGGTAGATGTACTGCAGCGCCTTGGGGTCCGAGATCCACAGCATGTCCTCCTACCCATATCCTCAACGTCAGACCGCATCCAACACAATCCAGTCCGACTCCAACTTGCCCCGAACGGCGCCTTCACGCGCACCACGCTCCCATACTGCTCCTGCCACTTGAAGTCCGTCTCCCCAGACTGCTCCTGGAACAGCTCGGGCAAGTGGCCTACGACGAATGGGATGCGTGGATGTCAGCGTCCTCCTGGAAGCGAAGAAGAAGGTGGTGGTGATGCGCACCTAGCCAAAACGACGTCGGCTCTGGGCCAGGAACGTCGGCGACCGATGGTCTCGTAAGGAAGCGATAGACGGCATAGAGGAGCGTCAGTGCGCCTGCGGCGAGTGCGAGCTCTTGTCGCTGCATCGGCGGGGATGCGGAGGGGAAGGGGGGTCGATAAGAAGGCAGGCGGAGCGAGTGCCGGGAAATGAGAACCCGCAAGGATACGTATGTATACGTGGGAGCGGCGGGCGGAATAGTGTGGCCCAGTCCCCGCCTGCCTCACGCGCGTAATCATGCACAGGCAGCGAAGTGGGAAGCGTTCCTGCGGAATGCGTAATGCGTAATGGGCACACGGCTTCCTGGGCGAGCTTTGCCATAAGTGTGCGCTGGCCGAAGCTGGGAGAATCAGGCCCGCGAGGGGGGCCGCATAGTAAGCGTCCGGCGAATGGCGACTTCAGGAGACAGTTGGAGGTAATTGACGACTCACCCGGTGTTCATGTGGCCCAACCAGGAGAGACAGATTCCCAACGGCAAAGAAGCACGCATCGGCCCCTTCGCCTGAGTCGCTCCGCGGCTTCTGGCCTGTCTGGTACACGGGAACTGCCTTTCTAGAGGAGGAACCGCGGGAAGAGATACCGCCTGCAAAGGCAATCTTTTGCCAATCAAGCTTCAACGTAAATCATAGTGCGAGCCGGCTTACCGGACTGTATGTACTATGTACCACTCTACTAAGTACCAGGCCTGGCACCATCCACGTCAGCAGCGTTCGAACTTGGAAGCGACACAGCTCATCTATATGAGGCATTGGCCATGAACTTCCACTGAACGTTGTCACAGGACTTACAACTCTCTGGCTCACTACTGGCTGGGCCCATAGAATGCAGCCTAGACATACTAGGGACATACGTGGTCGGTCTCGACAGAGCTCGCACTGGGACGGGTTTATTTTGTGAAAATCCGCTGAGTATCCCCAAGCGACTAGGAGCAAGGGCGATCAGCTCATGATTGAGAGCAAAGCCCATGTAAGTACTTACCCACAGAGTCACGGTGAACTTGGTACAGCCTTGTCGGAGTCACGGTGTAGGTGGCCCTCCAGAGAAAACAAAACACAAACTGAAGATCGATCAGTATGTACTGGACCAACGTCGGAATTGAACCGACGACATAGGCTTGTGCCCCGCTCTCCCCAACTGAGCTAGTCGGCCCAATTTGGCATGCAAACATCTTGAGTAGACCTAGCTACGGAATCCTCGAAGGCAGCAAGTGTGAACTATCAATCACTGTTGTGACCGGGTCTTTCTTATATCCCACGTCCACATACAACCTCCTAGCAGGCTAGAAAAAAAGCAGGAACGTTGAACACAAAATCCAAACGCACTGGGCCGACGCCGGAGTCGAACCGACGACCTAAGCTAAAGGCGCCTCACTCTCCCCAACTGAGCTAGCCGGCCCAATTCGACATGCAAACAGAGCTCGGTAGTAACGCTACGGAGCAATGAAGGTCTTCCTTATGTAGATGCCTTCGGCAGAATCACTTCCTGGAAAGAAGGAGGAAAATTTGCGCACAAACGCAAGGACATTGAGCCAACGCCGGAGTCGAACCGACGACCTCGACGATAGCAATCTGCCGCGCTCTCCCCAACTGAGCTAGTCGGCCCAACCACATGGCAAATCAATTGACCCCCAGTCAAAATTAGTCTCCACAATGGGAGGCGGCCGAACTTGGAGCGATGGACAACCTCCATCCGGAGTCCTTATGCCACGCATGCGGTGAAGGAGCATCAGTGTTAGACCCATAGCCTCTATGATAGTATCTAGGTATGTCTACACGCAGAATGGAGCATCCGTTGACGTTCTGTACCACTTTATCCTATCCGGGGAGCCTCATACCCGCTATGAAAGGGTGTTCTACGAACTCCGGCACTTCGTCCTCATATTCTGGGGTGCCTCCCTCTTGCCGCCCTTCACCATCTGAGCAGACGTCGACCGTCGCGCCAAGGTTCCCGATGAGTCTCGACAGGCGGGAGGTCCTGGTCCTGGTCGGCGATGGTGGCGAAGAAGATGCATGGCGTGAGCTGGGGAGCGCAGAATTGTCGTCTGAGAAGTAGAGCCCCCGGAGGCCTAGCATGAATCGCGAGAGAAGAATGACGGTGAAGCTGGTGTCGTTCCCGGGAGAGTAGCAGGAATGAGCGATTTTAGACATTCATTAGCGCGGGCTCGTAAGAAGCGAGGGAGCACACAAGGCTGCCGCGACGTACGGAGGGGAGAAGGAGAGCCAGAATCCGGTGACGAGCGCGGCCAGACGCTGATCCTGGACGGCGGAGTCCGAGGTGTGGAGGGTGTATGCGAGCTGGATGGCTGTGTTGGAGATGGCGAGTCTGTATGTATTTGATACTGAGGTCAGCTTATGGACCTCGACGCGACTTCGCCGAGTCGCGGGGTGTAGATAGTGGGAACACGCACACGAAGTATATCGTACCTGTGACCGCACCCCGCACCATGCGTTAGGATCAGTTCTTTCTTCCCTTGGCATAGCAGTGGAGACTCACCGTCGCGGAACAAGAAGCACGCGATGGGCGGACGGTCGGGTGCCGATTTGAGTAGGTCTTTTCTGATATGAAACGTCTTGTACCATGTCAGGAGCACGAGGATACAGTTCGAGAAGATGGTTGTTCCGGTCGCAACGAGCTGCACTACGAGATCCGGTATGAATGTAACGATGAAAAATTCAATCCTGTGCAAATGACAGGTGGCTCACATCTGCAATAGAGGAATTGTCACGACAACATCTAATGTTGATGGACGACGAAACTCACGGTGTTTGCATCACCAACACCCAAGAGGTGGGAGTTTCCTGGCAGATATTTATATTCAAGGCCTCTTCGTGCGTTATTCGCACATATAGTGCTTGCATCTGTATCAGTTTGCATACATGAGAGATCAAATAATTCAAATAATGATGAAATGGCGAGAGGGACTCACGATACGCAGGGCGGGCTCCGCAAGTGACAACGGCGCAACGATGATGACAGGTCCCCAACCCCGTCCCCAAATTGCATAGATGCGCATGATGACGAGAACTAGACCGCCATAGTGGATTGTTAGTGTGCATCTATTCGTCGTAATGTAAGGAGGCGTACGAGAACACGCTAAAGTGGATAGCACGCTTAACACGTCGGAGGTGTGGTCAAGCATCTTGCAGATCTGGGAGGTAGGGATATGAGTCGGACGGCGCGTAACGAGACGAACAAGGGGGGAAACTCACTCGTGTGCCCACGTCGTCGCTCCATGACTGTATTTCTAGAATCAAGAACACGCGAGAAAGGATGACGGTATATCGAATGCATAAGTAGACTATCGTCGCGCCCGAGAATCGTCTTCTCCATATTCGTTGGATTTCGATGCAAAAGGTTAAGGCAAAGTCGTAGAGTAGTAATGCTGGCAAGAATGGGTCAATTCAGCGAAGCTTGACGAGCAGTAGGTTGCAGGGTTACACACCAGTAGATCCAACCGCGAAATACATTAGAATCTTCCTGTTAAACGCATCCTCCATTTAGCGCAAGCGTAATGAGCACCAGTGTATGGCTTACACATCAAAAAGTTCATTCTGAACTTGCGTAGGCACAACCATGGTGAACACTGTCGGGTCGTGAGACGGAGGCTGGCGGGAGAGGGTACCAGTACATCCTCCAGGGAAGCGACCCACCGACGTTAATAACCCACCGAATGCAACACAGGTACTAGAAGAAGATAAATTAACAGAGATGGCGAGCAGTCGATATGCATGGAGTCATCAATATCTGTCGATGTAGGTTGAAGGAATGACAACCGTTCGACGGTGCAGATCTAATCACCTCGTATCATTGAGAAGCTAGTGACGATCCGCATATCATAGTGAGTAGATGATAGTTTCCACAGAAGGAAAAGGCAAAGCCTCAAGAGTAGTGACAGTAGTCGAGACCTACCTTTCTAGGTTGAGGGAGCAGAAGATGTCCTCATAAATCGAAGTTACCTGGCGGCGTCGGATGGGTTCGGAAAGGAAGGCTGGGGGCAGTGGTAGGGACATGCGCCATGGGCTATGCGGTAGTGCATTTTGATATCGCCGGTCCATGCAACACCAACATCCGTCGAGCTTCGGACACAGACGTCGTGGTGTTGTGGGTCACACTCGACTTGTATCTCGGAGTCTCGGACAGCGGCTGTCCTAGGGGATGACATAAGCTGTGCGGAGACGGAGTACATCTTATCTTATCTTATCGTATTTTATCTGGGAAGACCTGCGCTCGAGGACATCTACCCACCGGCGCCTGGCGGCAGTCTGAGCCTGATCCCGTTTTGTTCAATATGCATGCCTTGCTCCTGCATACAGGCTGTTGACGATATCTCGCTGGTTTGTGCTCTGCTATGGCCCCAAAACCTCCTGTCAGCTATTGGAAGTGTCAACTTGAGCTGATGTCAGTCTGTGGGGTTTGAAAGCTTCGAATCTGGACCTTAGTGAGTGCGCTTCTCGTGATACCAATGCCAGTATCCTTCGAGAGAACAAACCTCAGTGAATTACCTCGCTCAAGTGTCACCTTCCCGTCTTGTCTATACCTTTCAGGCTGCATTTGCACGGACGTGAGTATGCGGGTCTCGTGGCAATCAACCAGGTACTCTCCGGTGAGTTGTATTTCCTGTTGTACGTGTGAGACTCATCGCGGTTATCTGTCATCACCTTCATGAGCTTCTGGAGACATCTTGGAAGAAAAGGCACGTTCATTAAGACAGATTGGCATGCTTCCTCGAGTTCTCGAACAAAAACAAGGTCGTCTAGTAGCATGTGCTTTCCTATCCCAAGCTTAACCGCTCGACCTCCGCCCCTATCCGCGTCGCAACCACCACACCGGTGCGGAGAAAAGTCGGCGTATGCCGTTGGCCTCCGCACAATATGGCTCATGCTAGAAGTTGAAGGTAGCATACAGAGCGCGGCTAGTACGCGTCCATTCGGTGAAACTGTGGTGTATCGCGCGAGGCTGTCTGCTGCATTCTTGCATTCTGCGCAAGCAGTCGCGCTTCCCAGCGACGGGAGAGTAGCGGAGGTTTAGCGAAATGGGCTGGATGGAGAAACTCCGGAGGGCGAAGGAACGTGTTTGCTGCTTCGCAGTTGTTCCAGCTCAACTAGGAAGTGGGTGTGGTTCTGCGTTCGCGGCTGGACGAGCTCCGTTATCCCTGCTTGATTCCTGAACTCTGCGCCGGACAGCTCAGATGGAAATACGTCACCTTGCACGATTCTCTGCCCGCCGCCCCACTGTCCACATCGATATCAGTGGCGGACTATTCTCGGTCTCCGCGCCGGTCAACCGACTTATAAGACAACCTCCCAGTCCGCCACCGCCACAAACTTCCGATAAGCTGCACTACCAGCAGCACTCACGTCTCAGCTGCACGACATATCAGCCAACTCGCTGCCAGGATGGTGTATCGGATCCTCGTGGGGTCGTACACCAACGAGGTCTCCACGCTCGCCTTCGATCCCAAGGCACGTAAGCTGACGGTCTCGTCAACTCTTTCCGTTGGACATCATCCGTCATGGATCACGCCCCATCCGACAGACAAGACCATCGTGTTCACAGCTCTCGAGCAGTATGAAGGCAAGATTATCGTTCTCAGACTTGATGACGAGGGAGGCGCGACTCTCGTCGGTGAAGGTCCAAGCGGAGGCAGAGATCCATGTGCACTGGTAGCGGTCGAAGACCAGCTACTGCTCGGGAATGTACGTCATTTCATCCACACAATCGCGTCTGGAGCGCTTCTTGACGATGACCGGTCGTTAGTATTCTTCCGGGATCTTCACCGCCGTGCCCTTATCTTCGGAGCCGCCACACATAAAGGTGGCTGAGAGCGCCCTGATCAACTTCTCCGGGACGGGGCCAAACACGGACCGTCAAGAGGGATCGCACCCTCACCAAGTCATCCCACATCCCACCTACAAGGAGGTCCTTGTTCCCGACCTTGGTGCTGATAAGACTCGCCGCTTGGTCCGCGGGGCCGACGGCAAATGGGAAGAGAAGGGCGTCGTCACGTACAAGCCCGGCTCGGGCCCCCGTCACGTCGCATTCTACGGTCAGTCATGATCTTCCCGCCCTGCCAGCCATTATCTGAGATACCGAACATCATGCGGTAGAGGACGTGCTATACACCCTGCAGGAGCTCTCGAGCGAAGTCTCCGCACACCGTCTCCCGCCCCTCCCGGCGGAGCCTACGCTGCTCGACTCTGTACCGACACTCTCCAATCCTCCCGCGCCGGAGTTCGCGAAAGACATGCTCGGGGCGGAGATCCTCATCCCCGCGCCCAACGCGCTGTACCCAACACCGTATATATACGCGTCGAACCGCAACGACCCGCACCCCGAGGGCGACACCATCGTCATCTACTCCCCTGTCGGCCCGGATGAGAAGATCGGGTACGTGACGGAGGTGCGCACCGGGCTGAACCACCTGCGCGGGATGGTGTTTGGCGGCCCCGACGATAGGTGGCTCATCGCGGGCGGCGTGAAGGGTGGAGGTGTGAAGGTGTTTGAACGCGTAGATGGCGGGAAGGGGCTGAAGGAGGTTGCGAGCGTTGAGCTCGAAGCCCCGACTGCGTTCCTCTGGCTATGAGGGAGGGGGCTCAATCTT